CATACTTTATCTTAATCGAGATATTAATAAGGAACCAGCAGATCAAGTAGCTTTTGGAATAAAACACCAATTTTTTTAAAATTAAACACTATCTAAAGATTTGCATCGAAGCGTTTATTTTTGATAGTGATTTTAATCACTGTCAGATATCATTATACTTGATCCAACTATGCCACGTCACCACTGTGCCGCGACCCCCCTGTGCTGGGTTTTTTTTATCCATGTTTTTATTTTTAATTATAATATTTTTGTTAATATATTATTAAGGTATAAAATTTATACATTAATAATATATTTACGAATATTTATATTTATAAACCTAAAAAAAATGACATAATATACTATAAAATGTCAAAATACCAAAATACATTTTGAACACTTATACACCATATATACCTCCAATAACCCCAACTCTACTCCTACCCTTTCTACACCAATATACACCTATATACGAGGTGTGATCAAAAAATACCCGGACTGTGTTAATAATATTTATATCAATTAAGATAACGAAATCCCGATAATTTAATTCGATAAAGTAACTTCTAACGAGAATTTGAGCATTGGTTTGAAATCGATAACAATATTTATTTTTATTTTATGGCATTTTTACGAAAACATGTTTCAGTCATGCGTCGATTTTTGAAATGGAAACAATAGAAGAACAACGTGTGTGAGTAAAATTTTGTTTTAAATTAGGGAAAAGTTCTAGTGAAACTTTTAAACTTTTGAAGCAGGCCTTTGGAGATGATGTTCTGTCTCGGACAACATGTTTGGAGTGGTTTAAACGGTTTAAGGAAGGTAGGTCATCCACTAAGGATAACGAACGATCTGGTAGACCATCGACCAGTAAAACAAATGAAATTGTTGCTCGTGTTCGTGAAATTATTCGAAATAATCGTCGATTAACTATCAGAGAAGTTGCAGAAGACGTCGGAATATCTTATGGTTCTTGCCAAAAAATATTAACCAAAGAATTGGGCATGAGCCGAATCGCAGCCAAATTTGTTTGGTTTTGTTTTTGTTCATTGGTTAAGAGACGAGGAACCACTCAAAACATGTCCGAGACAGAACATCATCTCCAAAAGCTTGCTTCAAAAGTTTAAAAGTTTCACTAGAACTTTTCCCTAATTTAAAACAAAATTTTACACACACACGTTGTTCTTCTATTGTTTCCATTTCAAAAATCGACGCATGACTAAAACATGTTTTCGTAAAAATGCCATAAAATAAAAATAAATATTGTTATCGATTTCAAACCAATGCTCAAATTCTCGTTAGAAGTTACTTTATCGAATTAAATTATTTAATTAAAGGATTTCGTTATCTTAATTGATATAAATATTATCAACACAGTCCGGGTATTTTTTGATCACACCTCGTATAGCTTCCGATTCCTCTCACCTCATAACATGACCAAATCATCTAAGTCTATTTTCTCTCATCTTATCCACGATTGACGCTACACCTATACTCCCTCTTGTATATTCATTCCTTATCCTATCCTCTTTAGTCACTCATCTATCGAAGCATTCTCATCTCTGCTCTATTTTCTAGTCAATCACCCAACACTCTGAACCATACATCATATTATTACTAGTCTTATAGAATGTACCTTTTAATCTCATTCGAATTCTTTTATTGCATAACACACCCAACCAGATGCTTCTCTAAACTTCACCTACCTGCACTTAATCCTGTGTCTTACATCTTCGTCAATACCACCGTTCTTTTGCACAACTAATCCTAAATACTTAATACTTTCTACCTCTCCTATTACAACCTCGCTTATTGTCACTGATCTCCTCATTTCATCTACTTCGTATTCTTCTTTATCAAACTCGTACTCTATATACTCTGTCTTACTTATTCTTAAACTATTTTCTTCAAGAGCTGATCTCCACACCTCTAGCCTTTGATTAATTTTCTCCTATTGACACTATCGTCAGCAAGCAACATGTACCATGGTATTTTTCCTGGTATTTTCTCTAGTCATTTCATCCATCACAATAGAAAAGGGCTTAAAGCATAACCTTGGTTCACTCTTACTTTTACCCTAAAATCTTCTGTTATTCCGCCCAGACTTTTTACCTTGGTAAAAGTACTATCATACATATCCTCTATTATATTAATATACTTTTTTAGGGCTTCTTTTTTTCTTAATGCCCAGTTTAAAACCTCTCTCGGTACTCTAACATGTACGTTCTATAAATCTATAAATACCATACACGGCTCTTTTTTATTTTCTCTATACTTTTCTATTAGTTGTCTCACACAAAATAATGGCTTCACTGCTGACTTTCCAGGCAAAAAACTAAACTATTTCTTTGTTACTGATATTTCTTCTTTTATTCTTTTGTTTATTACCTTTCCCCAAATCTTCATACTATGATTCATAAGTTTTATGCCTCTATAATTCCCACACTCCTGTATGTCGCCTTTGCCTTTAAATATCAGCACTGCAATGATATTCCTCCATTCTTTTGACATTTTCCCTACTAATAAAATTTTTTTTAATAGATCCTTCAACCACCTAATGGAAATACCACCTAATATTTTCCATACTTCTATACAATACTTCCATACAAGTCAATAGACTTCTTTTCGCCTTCCTGTGTTCCTAGCCTATCATACAACTCATCATACCTCTTAAACTTCACCTTACTTACTGAATACTTGGCTTATTTGTACAGATGTTTATACTCCATTCAATCTTCTCCCCTTTTGCTCTTCTGCTATACTTTGAACTTTTTTTTCTTACTATCTATGATTTTTTAAACGTCCTCACCACCAGGTTTCCTTATTTCCTGGCATTCTACTTTTGCTCTCATCAACAATCTCTTTTGCAGTATTCTTTATACAACTAACAAATCTATTCCACACATTATTTATCTTCTCTTCTATCGTCTTTAAAAATTATTTTTCCCTTTTCAACTTCCACCACCAGATTCTCTATTTTCCTCCTGTGTTCTTTCTGTTTTTGTATTCTCTATTCCCATTACACCACAACTTCATTACCATCAGTCTATGTTGTGTAGTTATACTCTCGACGATTTTATTCTCAAAATATTGTTAAAATATTCATAATTGTGTTTGGAAAATATCTACAGAAATAAATTTATAAAATATATAAATATATGTATATATATATATATATATTAATTTTCTATAAAAATTTAGATTTGTTTTGTTTAAAATTTTAATGTTATTAATTGTATATTTAAAATATTTTTCAAACGTCTTTTTAAATAAATTGTCATTCATATATCTAACAACTTAGATATTTAATTATTAAATTTAAATATAAAAATTAATTTTGTTATCAATTCCAAGAAGTTCATAATTGAAGTATTTTAAGTAAATATTATACATATTTATCAATAAAATCTTGCTTCGGTTACATGATTTAAAGTTATATTTAGCATCACTTACTAAATGCAAGTATAAGCAAAATCATAGCTAAAGTTGTTGATTTCCACCCAAGCATGGGAGCACCATATCTTTTCATAGAAATTTCTACAGAACGCCAATCACTCATTATCTTTGGCCATTTTTTTGCCAATTTTATAAACATCCAAAGTGCACAACAGGCATTTCCATAAAATATACTTCCTGACGTAGCTTTTTTTATTCCCCCTGTAAAGTATAAAAATTATTATGTAGCTTCATCTTAATAAATTGGCTAAAATACTTATGTACCTTTAGCGGTTAAATTATCTTGATTTAAATTCCTTATGGTATAATCCAAAGAAAATATCTCTATAGATGCAAATCCGCAAAAAAGAAACATCGAATAAATAGCAACAGGGGAAAACCATTTGAATGAAAGTTTATAAACGTCTTTTTTATAAATACCACTAACTGGAAATACTCCAAATATAGACGCGAACGTGAGTACATATCGAATATAATAATGAACTCCAGTTCTAAAAAAATGTATACATTTTAATTCATGTTAAACAAAATCATTGATGATGTATTAAATATGTCTCACGCATTATCTTTAAAAGTATAAAACATATTATTATTTTTTTTTCAGTAGTTAATATGTTCAACAATTAAAAAAAAAATTAGTCCAATTATTTGAACCTATTTAAATAAGTGTAAGCACACTATTGTTTGTTTGAATAGACATTAAATTTATGAAAATTGAAATGATTAAATCAACAAAAAATTATCAGTTAAACTACCCGATGATTTTGAAAATATAACAATACATAGTAGTAAAACAGTTTTGAAATTAATAAATGTAAGGTGTATTCAATCTTCATTATGTTATGGAATTATTTAATTCTAGTAAATTACTATAATATAAATTTAAAAATTCATTACCTCAATAGGCTATATTAAACACAAATAAATATATTTTAAATTCAAATGTCACAGAATTAAAAAATTCACAGTAAAAAGTATCAATTTAAGGAAAATTCAAAATAAAAAGTAGTATGAAATTTTTTTTTATTTTACAATTTTAATATTACTAGTGTCATTAATTTATACATGTAATGTTTTTTTTTTAATAAATGTGTAATAACTGGTATGTTGTGTGTTTAAAGTTATTTAAAAACAAATCAAATGAATTATAAATCGATTTATAAAAATAATTTTAGGTAAATATCTAGTAATTATTACATCTCTTAAACTAAATGTACTGATATAATATTTTACCCACTCTATATTAAAAAACAAGGCAGTTTATATATAAATATTTCACATTTTATATTTTGTTCAAAATTATGTGGGATATACTATATCAATTACAATAATTAATTTGTACAATCTATTGTACTTTATAGCTTTGATAAGTAGTTAAAAAATATTAGTTCTAAGCTGTGTTTTCTTTTTATCTGTCTATATGAATACTCCTCTTAAACCGATTTTGCTAGAGAATATGTCAAATTATCACAAATCAAATCTAGTCGAAGTTATCAGCACCATAATTTGAACAATTTTTCTCAAATGTCGTATTATAGAAAAGTTTAAAAAAAAATAAAAATTTTAATAAAGCATTCGATATTAATATTATTAGTTTCTAATTTACGTTAAAATAACTTTTATAAAACGAAACGGTTCATTGCAACATTATATTGACATTATTTTTTTATAATTTACCTTCCAATCTATTATTGAAGAAACAAAAACTTTAAAAAAAATTCCCATTGCCTAACAACACGTGACTGCTACTGAAAGTTCCTATTTGTTTCCAGACAGGGAACTTATACAACATAACTTCTATTGAAGTTTTATGGACTTCTTAAAGAACAATTTTATTTTATATTAGACTTCCCCTCACTAACTAGTGCGACGGGTATTGCGAACCCGGGGCCCCGAACTCTGATCTGACTTTAATTAATAAGTTCAGTCTCTTTCTACTCTTAATTGGTTGGAGTAGAATGTCTTATGAAAACCTTACATGGAAAACACACCGATTACGAAACAACAACAAATGCCTCGGAAATTGTAGTTATGGAATTTAACAATTAAAACCTGGAATGTGTGATTTCTATATAGGACCCGAACTTTGACGACAATTATACGTGCCTTGAATGGTATCAGTTAGACATTACTGCGATTCAAGAAGTGAGATGGAAAGACTCGGGGAGTATCACGTCTTAAGGGATGACAATGTTATATAGTGGTGGTACGAATAGGGGAATAGGCTTCATAGTAAGTGATAAAATTATGCCAAGCATAGTGAGTTTCAGACCGGTAATCAACCGGTTATGCATCTTGGATATTAGATGTAAGTGGTACAGTGTGATCGTGATTAATTTTTACGCACCAACGGAGGACAAACATGACTACATCAAAATTACGATGAGTTCGAAAAGTTATATGATAGTTTATCAAACTGGAAACCAAAAATATTAATAGGAGATTTCAACACAAAAATAGACAAAGAGACAATTTTTAGACGAACAATTGGTAAGGAGAGGTTACACAGAAAAACGAACGAAAATGCTACTATGCTTGTTACTTTCGCGTCAAACCGAAATATGGTCATAAGTAACACAATGTTCTCACATATGGATATCTATAAATAGACATGGATATCACCATGTGGGAGGATAAGGAATCAAATAAATCATGTACTTGTAGATAAACGGATAAGGTCAAATTTCATAGATGTGAGAAGCATGAGAAGTTGTAGTGCAATATCTGATCACTTCCTGGTAAGAGTCAAAATACACTTTAGAATATCAGTGGAAAACCAGAAAAAAAATGCGGGGAAAAAATTATCAGAGACATACTGAAAACTAATATAATAAAGGTGTATCAAGAAAGATAAAATAAAGAAATACAGCTAATAAACCAGAAAGCAGACATAAATAACACTTGGGAAAAAATAGCACAAGTAATTAAAGATACATCCAAAAAAATATTGGGAAATACACAAAATAAAAAGAGGAAAATGTGGTTCGATGAAAATTGCAAAAAATCTTTAGATGTAAGGGATAAAGCACGCCTGAAAGTGATACCAAACCCAAGTAATGAAAACAAACAAACTCTAACAAGTAAACAAAGAGAGGCAAAAAGAACTATAAGAATGAATAAGAAAGAATGGCAGAAACAAAGAATTACGGAAATAGAAAACGACAACAAAAATATCATAAAAGCTTTCTTTGAAAAAGTGAAGAACGTAAAAGCAGTTACTTGCCGAAAACAACTATGATAAGAAAGAATGATGGAACTATTATAACAGATAAAGGTGAGATAGCGAACAAATTTAAAAATATGTTTGAGGAAATTTTGAAACAACCAGAAAATAGGACTACAATAGAAGTAAGTGAAACAGTGGAAGAATTATTGAACAAACCAACAATACAAGAAGTAGAAAGTGGAATAGAAATGCTCAAAAATGTAAAGACCCCAGGGATTGATGAAATAGTTTCTGAATACCAAAAAATAAGGAGGAACGAAGCTGTTTCAACAACTTCACAAACTAATCACCAATGGAAATCCCAGAATCATGGAAAATGTCTGTCTTATAACCAGTGTATAAAAAGGGAGATGAAATGGACTCAAAGAACTATAGAGGAATTTCTCTGTTAAACACTTGGTACAAAATATTATCTAACCTCTTATTTAACAGATTGAGACCATTTATTAAACAAATTATTGGTGAATATCAAGCAGGTTTCATGGTAGGTAAATCCACTATAGATTATATTCATATAATAAAACAATTTGAAAAAAAGGCATGAATTTAATAAATATATACATATGTATTAGTGGATTTTAAAGTGGCATACGACTCAATGGATAGAAAGAAACTGTGGAACGGTTGGGTTGGGTTGTGTCTTGAATGGGTATACCAGAAAAACTTACTAAATTAATCAAAGTGTGCGCACAAGGTTCTAAATGCAAGGCGAGTTTTGGAGGAACTTACGCAAATGAATTCGCGGTGTCGATAGATCTCAGATAAGGGGACGCGTTGTCACCGACATTGTTTAACATTGCCTTGGAATCAGTGGTAAGAAAAGTTCTTAGTAAAGCGGAAGGAATAAAACTTTGCGATGATCAATAGCTTTCAATTGTAGCATATGCTGATGATCTAGTGATTATAGCCGAAAATGAAGAGAACCTGAAACAATCCACAAAAGAGCTAATATGGGCAGGGAAAGAAATCGATCTTAGCATAAATGGAGATAAAACAAAATACCTAATACTATCTAGACAACATCACACGGTAAGATAATTAGAAAAAGAAGGTTTTTCATTTAAAAGAATAGAACATTTTAAATACCTTGGAACTTGGATAATAACGTAAATAATCCGGAAGAAATAAAAGAAAGATTAATAGCAGCAAATATATGTTATAATTTAAGTCAAAACTACTTTCAAGAAGATCAAATACACCATTATACAAAGTTTTAATCAGACCTATAGCATTATACGCGTAATGGATGAGGTAGAAATAGGGTGTGTTTGAAAGAAAAATACTTCGGAAAATTTTTGGATCAAAAATGAATGAAGAAGGTGAATTTGAAAATAGGACAAATGAAGAGTTAGGAGAATTATTTGGAGAGATCAATATTATAGGATTTATGAAAAGTAACAGAATAAGATGGACTGGCCACGTTTGGAGATCTGAAAAAGTATTGTGGAACATTTTTTCTTCTTTCATAACTTCCTGATCCGGGTTTAGTATGGGATCATATATCTTTCTTAATATTTTCCTCTCGAATATTAGAAGTTTTAGTTCATCGCCCCTTGTTGTTGACCAGGTCTCACAAGCGTACATCGCAATAGGGCGTAAGTAAGCTATATACAGCTTCGTTTTAGTTTCTCTTGATAGTAACCTTGATGACAACATGATTTTCATTGTGTGATAACCTCTATTTTCCGAACCAAGTCTCAGTTTAACTTCATTGTGAATGTCATTTCTTTGGTTTATATTAACTCCCGAATATTTAAAATCTTCAACTTGTTCAAATAAGTATTATCCAATCCTGAGACTTTGCATAACTGTCAGCTTTCTCGTAACAATAATATACTTTGTTTTAATTTCATCATTTTAAAATCCTATTTTACCATTATTTCTTAACAAATTAAGTGTACTTATTGTTAACTCAGCTTTAGATTCTCCAAGGATAACGATGTTATCAGCATTCACCAACAAAGTATTACCTTCAAGAATCTCTAGTTCCCTAAAATTTTCCGTTACTATAATTACTTTTTCCAAGGCTAAGTTAAAAAGTATAGAAGACAGCACATCCCTTTGCCTTAGTCCATTCCTAACCTTAAACTGTGTTGACGTCTCTTCTAAGTGACGCATCCTACAGAAAGTGTTCAAGTTACAATTTCTAATTAGTCTCACAAGATTGCTTGGGAAATCAAAATCTTCAAGTGCTAACCATAGTTGATTCCTGTTAATACTATCATAAGCCTGCTTAAAATCAATAATCATTATATATAAGTCCTTGTCATATTCATAATATTTTTCCATGATTTGTCGTATAGTAAATTTATGATCACTGGTCGATTTTGCTTTTCGGAAGCCACATTTGTATTCACCAATTATCTCTGAAGCATACTTTTCGTTCCTATTTAAAATAGCAGTGGAGAGTACTTTGTAAGTAGTATCCATCAAACTTATCCCTCTATAGTTCTTCGTGTTTGTTGGGTCACCTTTCTTAAAGATGGGACATAAGATAGTTGTGTTCCAATCATTTTCTAATTTTTCACATTTCCATATACTCGACATAAGGTAATGAAGAATTATTAAAATATCTTTTCCTGCAATTTTGAGCAATCCTAGCTGATATAATTTTCCCCTGGCACTTTGTTATTTTTTAAGGATTTTACTATTAATTCAATTTCTTCCATACAAGACTCGGGTAATTCTAGTTGGCCGTTTGGTACACTGGTTTTTCATATGGACTGTAACTGGTATTTTGTTCTGTGCTGTCGTTAAGTAGATTGTCAAAGTACTCTTTAAATTTGTCTATAATCTTCTTAAGATCAGAAACTAGACTGCAGTTTCCATCATTCATAATAGTCATCCATGCTTTAAATCCTTCCTTAATGGATTTGCACTTTTTAAAAAATAATTTGGGTCTGTTTTGTATATTTCTATTTCTTTTAACTTCCTATTCTCAGCAATTCTTTTCTGTTATCTTATTATTTTATTTGCTACGTTACGTAATCTTATATCTACGTTATTCCACGTTATTATTGGTATGGTCTTATGTCATGATTGTTCTTGCTTCCTGGCGTTTTTTAATCGCTTCGTGGCATTCATCGTTGAACCAGTAGTTTTCCTTTTTGTTTTTCCTACCTTTAAGTTTTTCGTTTCATTTGTTAGCGAGTCTTTGATTTTTTCCTAAGTTGAGGTTGAGGTTTTTCCATTTTCAGGTTATGTTCCATTATGTTTAGCAAGTTCCATAGTTACTTTCCGTTTAAATATTTCAATTTTAGCAACACTTTTGATCTTGTCTCTGTCTAATTTAGTATTTATACTTTTTTGATGGTATCTTTTCCATTTAACTGAAAGTTTCAGGGAAAATTTTGCTATCACCAGATAGTAGTACGAGCCTCCAACCGCACCTCTGTATGTTCTCACATTTGTAATGTTTGGCTGATAACTTTTATCTATAATGATATAATCAATCTGAGTATTCTTGTATATATTTTTCCTTGGTAAATATGTGCTACTTATGACTAACTCTTTGGAAATTGTAAAATTGATTAATTTGCTTTTAAATAACAATTAATAATTATTTTATAGCTATAGCGATTGCCTCGCTTAAATTTTTCGATTAGTTAACACGATAATTTTAATTTGGTTATTGTAAAGACCTCTTTTAAACGCGCCTAAAGCCTAATCTTCACACATATCCCTGATAGCTGATTTTTTTATTTTACAAGTTAATTTATAAGTATAGGACTGATAAAGTTTAGATTCTAATCTTTCTACTCTATCGCGAAAATCGTTAATTTTGTTTAATTGTTTGTAATTCAACACATAATTGATCTGGACGAATTTCTTCCCCAAAATAATCAATAAGAAGGATTTTTAGTTCCGACTAGTCTCTAACATCTACTGAGTTCACTAATTCTCTAGCTTTGCCTTTAATTTTCAGCTTAATGGCTAAAAACAGTTGTTTATGCTGTTCGGCTGTAGCCATAAGATAAGCATCAGTTACGGAATTTATGAAATTATTTAAGGTATTAGACTTGCCTTCAAAAGGTTCGCTTATTAGTTGAGCTAATTCGAAAATAGAAAAATTATTTTGTGTAGCCATATTAATTTAACAATTTAAAGAAAATGTTCTTTTTTTTTTTTTTACATAAATTTTTGTTAATTTTAGTAAAGTTTGTACCTTTGAAAGGAAAAAACTATTAAAGAAAATTTTACCGATAGTAGTATTTTACAAGGTATAAACTTATTTCTATCTAACGCATAAACTATCTTAACTAATTACAATTATCGTATTTACCAGAAAAAAGCCGCGAAAAATAAATATTTCATATTTTTCAATTATTGATCCCAAAACGCCGATTTTAGGTTGTCTTGCCAATTCTTTGTTACGATTTTGTAGTGGTGTCCCATTGAACCAAATTTTCCAGAGATGCCAATTTCTATGTGATGTACTGAGTGTTCAAGTCCAAGTTCGATCACGCGGATAAGTGTTGTCAGGAAGAGTCAAAATAATAACATTTATAATGTAACATTCATTGATTGAACACTGACCACTGAATCAGTAGTCAGATCCCTTTTTATTAGGAATAATGTCATTAACAATTAAGGATATAATTAACATGAAATTTACAGTATTAATGGTTACTTTCTAAATATTAATATAATATTTTCTAGTGTTACAATAAATTCCTTATAACTAATATTTATAAAACAAATATGGGTTCACGACAATAAAATAACTTTTGAAAAAGATCAATAAATTCTATATACTGTTAAATATCTCATTACTCGAAGATCTACAAATTATTTTAAATATTTGTTATCTAAATAACAAAAAGCTTTCTTAGATAACGTTTAGATAACCGTTTATAAACTCTTAATATTATTTGTATCTAAATAAAATAATCTAGATTATTACCCAGATTTTCCTACCCTGAATGTAATTATATTCAGTGTTGAATTCTAAATGATTAACCAATTAGAATTACTAAATAATTATAGTTGGACTTCTAATTTTTTTCTAATATTGTAACTCATTATATCGCACTATGAATGCAAAAGGGTTACATATCGAGATTCTTGATAATTGTCATTTTAATATAATTTATTATTTTTTATCTAAATATGAAATCAAAATGTATAAAACTTGACTTAAACTTAATATATATGCTAAAAACAAAGTAATACATAATGTAACTTTTATGGAAGGTTGAAACTTTAAAGCCGAAGTAATTAAAATTTTAAAGCGAATTTTATCAATGAAATTATTTTTTTATATTTTAAACATGATAAATGTATAATCTGCGGTTGAAAATGAAATAAAACTTACCTGTTTAAATAGTTATCGAATTCTTTCGTATTAAACTCAAGAACGACGTCACTAGTAGGAGTTACGTTATTTTGTTTGACTTTTTGAAAACCAAGTAAAGACATTTTAAAAAGTAACTTTACTTAAATTACATTTTTTTCATAATTATAATAACCGTTGTAACTTACTTTTGCTATTGACTTAGCAAAAGTTTATATCAAAAATCTTCTGGAAGTAAAGACTTAATGCAGTTTCCTAAAGATAAAAAACTAATAATGACGGTGGCAAGTGCTACGCAATTTGATTTTCTAAAATAAACAGTTGATTCAAATAAAATAATTATTACTTGTACGAGTAGAAATGATGCCTGTCTAATGTCATTAATATTTCATTAATAGCGTTTACCTTGCTTTTCTATGTTTAAAAGGTCATCAATGTAATTGGTTGACGTTATAATGTCACCAGAAAAAAACTTTTTTAATAATTTATACCCTACAATTTAACTACTAAACATATGGCGTTAAACATATATTATCTATAATCATTTTATAAGTTCACTAACATATTTTACATTGAATTATATAAAAGCAAAAAATATATAAAATAATTGTTCATGATAAGTATAAAATGTCTCAGGTAATATTATTTTTTAGAAAAATTCTAGAACCGTTAAATTTTAAAAAAAAACTGGGTATATGCTCTACTCCCATTATTTTTTGGTTTTTTGCCACACATACAAACCCCTCCCCATTCAAAATTTACAAGCTCACAGAGAATCCAAGAAGACTCTGACATCAGACAGTGATAAGCAAAAAAAAAGTTATGAAGTTGTTTTTTGTGTTAAAAAAGTGGTTTGACTGTTCAAACTGATCCTAACACACGCTTAATTTCATAGTTTTATTTATTTTAAATTGTCATCAGAAGAAAATTCTACATTTTACAATAATTAAAATTATTTTATTTGTAAAACAAAATTTTGAAACAAAACGTTTCTAAACAGAGTTTAATATAAACTTACTTTTATAATAATGGTATTTAACATTAATATTTATAATTGTAAATAAGTAAAAAACATAAATAAATTGATTTTAACAAATATATAATATAAATTACTTAATGATTAAATAATATGAACACAGAAATATAATAAGTCAATTAATATCAACACGCTTCTGATCTTAGAAATATTATATTATAACTAAAATATCCTACAACAATTTTTAGTTTAAATACACTTTACAGAAGTCTAGATTATAAGTAAAAAAAGAGTATACAAGATTAATAATATAAAGCATATATAAGTTTAAATAGAATATTAGTAAAGGAATATACATAAAATTAAATTGAAGCTTTTACAGTATTATTATTATAAAAATAGCCAAAAAGACAACAGAATAATATTATATATTTACACCTATACTTAAATTTCAATGAAATTAATTTACAAAACAGTAAAAAAAAAAAATTATTTATAATAATATAGAGTAAAAATTTGATACATTTTCTGACATTCAGCCCTGTAAATAAAATTCTGTTGATAAATACTTTTATTTTATTACTACTTCGAGTATAATTAAAACAACATCTTGATTTTATCATTGTTCAAAATTATTTCATTTTAATATTATAAATTTTACAGGCTCTACCTTTTAAGTTTATTTTAACATATATTTTAGGGTAGTAATTATTCTATAATATAATAAAAAGTAAGCATTGAAATTATGTAATTAATGGTAGTGATACAATTATCATATACAAAATCATTCAAACAAAAAATTATTAATTTTTATCTAGTATTCTGGCAAGCATTTGTACATATTGTTATTGATTTGTTACATAGATCTTTGGTTACATTATATATTGTCTTAAAGAATGAGCACACATGCATTATCATTGACTTTGTTGACTGCATATATCACATACGAGATGCTCTTTGTTGTAATTCCTGAGTAAATAAAAAAATTTATATTTTAGTATACTGGCTGAACTATATAGTTTGTATAGCTCAAATATAAATATTTATATATTTTTTATAACAACAAAAATGTGTTGTTCTATAAAGAAATACATATTCTGAAATGTAATAATAAATATTATAGAAATATGTATTTCATTGAGAGTAAATATATTAATCGGTACACTATACCTTTAGTAGGAGTATGTATTTCAGTTCTAGGATTTATTATGTATCAAACAGATAAAAATAGAACTTTGGATCAGTTTTACAAGCAAAAGGTACGAATTAAAAGAAAAAAAAACAATCTGATACAAGCAACAACTCTGGAACATTATTTATTAACATTTCCAATAGAAAGCAATTTAATTTCAGTTAAAAAATTTGTCCTAAAAGAGGTGTAATATAAATTATAATAAAAATAACTTAATACAAATTTATAAGAATATTTGTTTACAGGTTGAAAGAGGGGAGGATTGCATGATCAGTGAGAACTATGATGAAGCTATTCAACATTTTGCAAATGCTTTAAGTGTGGTTAATTCTAATGAAATATTAATAAATGCATTACAGAAAAAAGTATCCCAAAAAATATATCAAAAAATATTAAAAAATATTAATGAGTTAAAGCATGGGCTTATGCAATTACAATGCCAATAAAAATAGATGTAAAAATAATTACTTTTGCTTTATCAGTAGATTCTGTCTTTGGAGAATCAACAATGCCTTCTTCTCTTGATACTACACACAAAAACTCTGCTTGATCATAATTTCCGTAGTTATACTTTGACCCAATATTTACCAACTTAAAATAACATATTAATAAAATTTAAAAATAGTTCAATTTATACTTAATTCCCATTTTTTTTTATTAATACACTAAACATTATAAAATATTTTCAAATAAATTAAAAATTTTTATTAACACGTTGATGGACAGTTAATGACATGGTTTAGCTAAAAATAGAGTGCCTACTGGTTTTATGAGATTTTGAGATGCATGGGGTCAGAACAACTTCCTCCTTCATAAGAAATCATTGAAAATATTACTGCTATAGCAGTAATGACATTTTTAGAATAGTTTTTATACCACTGTTATAACAGTAATATATGATTTTGACCATCAACGTGTTAAATTGAAATTAATTTTTGAATCTAAATATACAATTATAACAGTAAACAAAATAAATTACTTGTTCAAATTTCCATTCATCAGACATAGTAGAAATCATCCATGTAAGTTCGTCTTCATGACATTGTAGAACTCTATATGTATGCTTTTTAACTTGTTCTGAACAGAGTTTTTTATCTCTTTGTAAAATCCTTTCCTTAATTATGCCTATTAATTCGGTAATGTTATAGAATTCGGCTTCTTCTAATACTCCTTAAAATTATAAATGAAATTTTGTAATATAAGTAAAATTAAATAATAGTCAATGTTTTTACCTTCTTCATCAAGATTTTTATTTAAAACCAATTTCCCATGTCGGAGATAATTTAAAATAGGACTAAAATATGTTGGGTCTCGATCAATCATATATGCCCCCGTTTCGTCCTAGAATAAAAAAATAATTGTGAAATAATATTTTTAATATAATAATACAAGACAACAGCCATTTTGATGACTACAATATTTATTTGAATTCTATAAGGAACTATGATATTAATTCTGAATCTGGTTATAGATTACTTTTATCTTAATTATTTTTTGAGGTAATTACTAATTAAGAATTAATTTAACTATTTTAGCTTCAAAGTGAAGCTGAGAAGGTATTAATTTTACTATAATGTGTTTTTTTTTTTGTGTCTGTGCTCAATCTCAGCTCTTGCTGGACCGATTTTGATGAACAATACGTCAAAAGATCACAAATCGTATCTAATCAAAGACATTACCCTCAAAAATTGAAAAAAATTCCCTCGTGCCCCGTAAACGGGGGAAATTCCCAAAAAAATTACAAATTTAAAAATCGCTAATTTTCGATATTTTTTCAATTTTTTTTACTTAAAATTGCCATAAATTTTTTAAAAATGACCGAATCAATTTACCTTTTTTATTTTTATAAATAACTTAGGTATTTACCTGTAATTTGATATATTTTTATGAACATTTGACTCTTTACCAGCCCACTGCAAAGGGTTTTAAAATGTCAACTTTTTCAACTTTTGAAAATGTTTCGAAAATTCTGACACTTTTATATATACCTTAAATTAAAGCTTATATAATATTCTTTATTTTGAAAAAAAAAATTGACCTCTGTACTTGTCTTCATGGTGAAAACGGACACCAAAGTTAAAGAAAAACGTACGATTTCCGTGAAAAAATTGTCGATTTTATATTTTATATTTTTAAATTTATATTGCTATAACTTTTTGAAAAATGTATGGATCAATATTATTATTTTTTTATAAATAATTTTTATATATATCTTTCATCTGACACACTTTTTTTTTTAAATAGGATCATATCCCTTTATACAAGGGGGGTCAAAACTTTAAACTTGGATAGAAATTTGTATATAGTTTGTGTATAGAAATTTGGACATTTTCAATTTTATTTTAAAGTGTTCCAGAAATTCTGACACTTTTATAAATTAAAGCTTATGTAATATACTTAACTTTGAAAAAAAAAATTTGACCTATGGATTTGTCTTCATAGTGAAAATGACTACCATATTTAAAAATATGCTATTTTTGTGTTAAAATTCTGGGTTTTGTATTTTATTTTTTTTTAAATACCTGACAAGGGGAGTACAAAGATTTTCATAAATATTATATAAATCAAATCAATCAAATTGATATAGCATAGAAAGTTCATTATATTTAAATTTTTTTGTTTTTTTGAAGTTGAGAAAAATAACTTTGAAATTTGAACTAACTTAAATTGCCATTTTTTTTTGGTCGACGGAAACGGCGTACAGTTGTCGAGTCGGTAACACTCGTGTTATACACACTTGGGGTACAAGGTTCCAACCCGTGTATGGCAAGGAATTTTCCGCATTTTTTTCTTAATTCTTTTTAAGTTAGAATAAATTTTCAACTCATTTGATTTTTATCAAATTTCAAGAGAAATTTCTTATTTATATTAAAATTATTTTACTATATTTTAGGTTTTAGCTTCAATGCAAAGCTGAGAAGGTATTTTTTTGTGATTATGATTTATTTTCTCTGCTCTAACTCGACCTACTTTTTTCAACGATACGTCAAATGATTACAATTTGTACCTAGTTAAAGATATTACCCTCAAAAATTGAAACAAAACTCTAATTTATCAATTAAACAGTTACTTATTTCATGTTCTTCATACAGACAATTAAAATCATTAATTTATAATGTTTTCAAAGTATTTATTGACGAATCAAGTTCGATATGATAGGTTTCAATTACAAAATAAAATCATTTTACTTTGTAATTTAATAATTTTTTTACTCTATTTGTGTGTGCTACTACTAGACTATAATATTCCAAATTTTTTGGTAACATTTTGCTATATAAATCAATTCTAAAAAAAATAATTGTTAGTTTCTCCTGAATTAACAATGGATTTTTAGATCTTTTTAACAACTTTTCTTTGATTAGTTATTTTAGTTAAAGTAAATCATTAAAATTAATTCAGTTTATATTTCAATTGTAGAATCTTTTTCAACATTAAAAGTTACTAGGAAATTATTACTATTATTTCTATTTAAGTTATCTATTACAATAAAAATCCAAAAAAATATTGAGATTTTCTGATAAATTTACTATAAATAGTAATTATAAAACTTCCTGACTGCATATTAATCTTAACAATACAATTTTTTTAATTCTCACAATATTTTCTTTTTAATGATGTGTCAATTTTAAACTTGCAAATTAAGCTAAAAGTTATAGTAATAAATTAATTTTTTTATTATAAACTTTGACAAAAATCAACATTGAAGGATTAAAAAAATAGGTTAAATATGTTATTTTCCTTATTTTTAACATATTAATAATCAAAATCAATATTAATTTAAAACAATTTTCTTTTGTTCTTAATTATTTTTTTTTATATGTAAATACTTATTTTTTAATAATATTATAAATATTAAAACTTAGAAGTAATAGAAAAACTCTAATTGTACATTTGAAAACATCGCAAAAAGTTGATTTAGAAAAGTATATTTTTGTTTCTGATGAAAGATCTTTGTAGTCCAGTGTATAAAACTTATAACTTTGTAATAAATAACAAACATTTTGTATTGAAAAGTATTGTACCAAGCCCTTTAAATTTTTTATACGCATTAAAAGTAAAGAAATATACAACTATTTTATTATTTTTATAAATATCTCCGTAAAAATTACAATATTAAATTAGTGAATATCAATTTCATACTAAATTTAATTATTATAATTATTATTTATTCATATATTATAATTATAAGTAAAATAACTAATCGGAATAAGATTAAAAGAATAAGAGGTATTGTTGCTTTTGAAATAATCTACCAATTTCTTAAAATTAAACACTATCTACAGATTTACATCGAAGCGTTTCTTATGATAGTGATTTTAATCACTGTCAGATATCATCTTTATTTGTTCCAACTATGCCACTTCTATACTGAGGCGCGACCCCACTGTGCTACCATTATTTTATTTTAATTTTAATTAAAAAAAATAAAAATTTCTATTTTAACTAGTTTTAGATTAATTTAATAATTATAGAATTCCTACCAATAGATAGAATAATTTGTAAAAAATTAAAAAATATGAATTTTTTGTTTTTTACAAATTAAAAAAAAATAGAAAAAGCGCAATCAAGAAAAAAAAATATGAAGCTCAAAAATTCGAAAAAAAAATTAATTCAATTTTTATAGTAAATGTGTAATTATACTTGGTGTACAACACATAATTACTTTGATATTAAACTAATTTTAAAGAAGTAATGCAAATTTTTGATAATTATGATTGATCATTCAGTTATGTATAAAAAATTTTAATAAATTATGAATTAGTTGTTATTCACCAAGTACAATTATACCATTATTTTAGCACAAAATACACAAGAAGAACTTTTATGATTTTTTTAATTTTATACTTTTTTTTTCATAATTTCTTTTTTCCATTTTTTATTGTATAAAAAACAAAAAATTCATATTTTTGAATTCCTCACAAAATTATCTATCTATTAGTAAAAATTCCATAATTATTAAATTAATCCAAAAACAGTTACAGTGTAAAGTTCAACTTTCTTCCTGATAAATATCTATCAAACTTAATTTTAAAGATTTATGAATTTGATAGATAAGCCTCAAATTTTTTATAACTCTTTTTACATCATTAAATTATATTAGAACTTTTTTTTTTTTTTATAGCTTTTAGTAAATAGTATGTTTATAGCTTAAAAATTATCTTTTATAACTATTATAATTTTATAAGATCAGTTTGTAGAAATAGTGCATCAAGTTTTGAGGGTATATGACAATTGTTGGGACAAAAGGACTGACGCCATCACAACATCATCAACTTGTGTCCATATTAGAACAGATAAAACTAGATGTGACAGAAAAAATCTAAAGCTTAATTTGGATTCAATATAGAAATTCTATACAAAATTTATCAAATTATTGTAAACGAGAGAAATTTTTTTATTATATGTTATTCTGTGTAAACTCTACTTAAACATAATTAAATTGATCATAACTACCATATCCGATATGAGATCTGATTCTTCTGAACACAGTCTGCATAAGAACGAATTAGGATCTCTGCACAAAGTAGTTTTTGTAGTTAAAAAACAAGTGCCTCCAACATTTAATTTTACCCACTGAGCGGTATTGCTCAATGATTTGTTCAATTGCAATCGCGACCCCTTTTCTTTGGTTACACCCTCAATAGCACTCATTATAAATATGAAAAATATATTACAATAACATTTATAATTTTTGCAGATTATACAATATAACAATAATGCATTAAATATTATTTAAAAACAATATTTTAAATATTTAAACTTAAAAAACAATAGCAAATAGATAAAAAACACAATAATTTACTTAAATTTTTAATCTTTATGTATTTTTATCATTACTTTTGGTGATAAAAAAAATGGTTAAGCTTATCACTAGTTTTAGTAAAGAAATTTTATGACCGAACACCAGTTTTGAGTAGTTATTTAGTATTGTAATGTGTTAAGAGATAGCGCATTTTGAATTTATTCTATAATCTTGTAATTTTTATTGAACAGACTTTCATCTGTATGCATTCGTTTAAAACGGTAACTCTCCAAAATTAAATATATAACCTGAAAAATTATTCAAAACGTTTATAATGCAGGATATAATTTAAAAAGACATTTAAAAGTATACATATTCACAGTAGATTTTGGTAAGTCTCTATTTCAGTTAATTCAACTGTATATTAAAGTTTGTGATAAAACACCCGTTAAAATTAATAATTTTAAGCATTGTATTACTTTAGTTAGAATTAAGATATAAATTAATTAATGTTGATTCTTAGTTAATCTATATAATGTCAATTTTGCTTTAGCAATCTGAATTCTTGTTAGGTTTGATGATGAGATCTATTATTTGTAAACTGTAGTTCATATTTATTAATTATAATCTTATATAATATAAAAGTTTAATATAAATAAATATTATTTAATGAAGGAAAAAAACATTTCAAATCAACATTCTATTAAAAGATCAAAAGCAATGTTGTATTAAGTATTGTCATAATTTGTTTTTAAATTTAAACGCAATACTTTGAAATTAATTCATAGTTTAGTGATGCAGACAAATATATTGTTAATTATATATGCTACATTCAATAAGTAATACATAAAAATTTATTAAATAATAATGGTTACACAACAATTTTTTAAATATTATTAACCGTGCTTTTGATATTTAAAAAAAATTAATGTTTACTGTTATAGTTCATTATTTTATCTTCTAATAATAAATGAGATATTTTATTCATCAATTTTTGTTAAATTTATAATAATTAAAAAAAAAAAAATTTCATCTAATTGTGTAATACTTAAGTTGGCTTTAACTTACTAGTATGTAATATTATTAAATTTGATATAAAAATTAAATTAAAACTATTTTATGTATGTATTTTGTTACATATGATATGTAACAAAATAAAAATTTATATATTTTTCAAACCCATCAGATTTTTTTACCATTTACAGCTTTTAAAACAACTAAAAGTGATACGAAAAATAATATTATAGTGTTTTTTGAATCTTTAAAACATTTTCTATCAACATAATGGTATTAATAGAGCTTAAATAAGAAATAAATATTGGAAAAAGATCGGCTTTACTTTTTTTAAAACTTTTGTTTATTGTTTTTTTGTATAATGTCCTCTTAACTAAGAAACTTAATTTTAGCTTAATAGAGGATAAGAAATCCTACATAGCTTGATAGTACAGAAACAAATTGTGATACCTCTGTATTGAGGCATGATACATTACCCTATCAAGTCAAATGTCATATCAAATGTAAAAACAATAGAATAATATTAAATTTTTTTCAAGAAATTAAATACAATCAAGAGGATTAAATAAAAAAATTGTATTAATACTTATACTTATTACGTACCTATTCTATAGATTGTAAATATTCAATAAAAAACACTTTTTTAAAATAAAAAACAGTTATAAAATATAAAATAAAATTTATCAAAAAGGGAATTAAAATTTCAAAATTTATTTCATTTCTATCAATAGTCTTTTAAAATATTAGCTAAATAACTTCATGTAATGGTTTGTAACTATTTGACATAAATAATCAACTTAATAGTCAATGTCTTGTTTGACAGGAAATTCACTGTTAGCATGTGAACTATTTACTACTTTTTAATATTAAAATTATTAATTCAAATCTTAAAAAAAATATTTAAAATATTTAATTCAATAAGTTATCTATATTAATATGTGTGTAGCATTAATAATGGTAACATTGTTCCCTAAATATGTTTTCAGTATTTTTTAGTAATATGTGGCTTTTTAAGTTAAATATTATGATATTTTTTTTAGATTTAAATTAATATTTTTAATATTTACCACTTAATCAATCTTCTTTTATAACAGTTAGTTTAGAAAATCCCTGTGAACTTATCCTAAAGCCATAGTTGTAAAAAATACTTTTAAAAAGTATTTTAAATAATATTCAAATATTTAAAAAAAAATGTATTTAAAATACTATTTGAATAATTTTCATACAAAAGTATTTGAGTAATACTCAATTACTTTACAAAAGTATTTCAAATACTAAGAATACAATTAAAAAATAATAATAATGTTTTTATTTTAACTAAGAGCAAAAGGTTCCACCTAAATAATTACCAAGAAGGTAATTTGAGTCAAATATTGAGTACTCTTAAATTAAGAGAACTCATTTATTATTTTCGATATTTTTTGTTAGAGGTAAATAAAATTAATTATTGGAGACTAATCAGTGAAAAAAATAAATATTAGTACACGTGTAAAAACCTGTAAAGTATGTCTTATTGACAATAGAGTAAATCATTTGAACCTGCAATAGGCTATTGTAGGTTCAACTGATGTATTAAAAATAGATGTATACATAATAGCATTTAGATAAGCACAATAATTATGTTATACTATAATGTAACATATAAAATAACAGAGAATTATTCTCAATTTTCATTTTGACTGAGTTTAATTTGCTTGCTGTGTTACGGTTAGCAAATTAAAAAAAAAAAAGTATATTAATAGTACTGAATATTAAACAGTATTAAATACTAAATAATTGTATTTAAAATACTACTCAGATACTTTTTATTAAATGTATTTAAAAATACTATTCAATACCAATGAAAGTATTTGAATACTTTTATTCAAATACATTTACTCAAATGCTTTACGCCTTTGCCTAAAGCTTTTTTATATTTGTGGCTTTAATAATACTTTTATTTATGTTCACCCCTTATAACTTATAAAGGTGTCAATTTCATTTTTTTTTAATGTCATCATACATAATTAAACAGTTTATTTAATTGATAATGATCTAATTAAGAAAATTACTGATTAATAACAACTTGTACCAGTATTACTACTTATAAACTCTACATTAATATGTGGTAAAAACAATTTTTTTAATCTACGGGGTTAATAAAAACTTAAATATAATTTTCTTAAGTGGAAACCCCTATTATAAATTTGATAATATGTTAGAAAAAACAATTACAAACAATTTTTTTATCCAATCAACTATTCATCTGTTTTAATATTAAAAATTGCATGATTTTTTAATCTAAAATTTTATTTTTTTTCACTGTTTTAATACAGTAGTTTTAATTTTTCTATGCTGTCAAATATATCAATTTTTATTGACCAACAATTGTAAGATATAACAAATAAGATACAAGAATAGAATGTTAAGATAACAAAAGTTTTCTTGATAACTATTACAATAAATAATTTATGGCCTAACAAAAGAGATTATTGATGCCATCGGTGTTATAGAACCAAAACAATAATAATTTTGTTCTCAAAATACAAATCTTTAAACAATTATAAAACATTAATTGTTGAAAATTTATTTAAAATATTATAAAACACAAAATTATTTTTAATATTTTTGTTTATATTTAAAGTAAAATAGGATAAAGAGTCCAGTAATAAAATTATTTTATTTTATAGTTATAAACAAATGAGTGTTAAATATCAAATATTGCACCGTTTTAAAATGTTTTTTACAAATTTTTTTTTCACTTTTAAATAAATATTATGATAGCAAAATTATTAAATTTAATAAACGTTGTCATTTTGTTGTTATTTCGAAAAAAACTGGTTAAACAGTTATTTATTTATTAATTTACTCGCTTAAACTTACTCAGTACTTATTGACTCTTACCTGATCAATGGTGTAAGAGTACGATTTTATTTTTTATTTTATTTCAGTTCATTAATCATTAAATTGTTCAGATTTTACTATTATTTCTTAACTTTTATTTTTTGTTAGTTTGTTTAGTTTGTATAGCTAAAAAAATTAATTTATATTACAGAAATTATGCACGAATATAGATAGAAATCAAGTTAAATTTTTTCGAATGGACTCTCCACTTGGTCATTATTTATTTTGCAACTAGGGGCACTAAATTTACATTTTAATTTGTTTAATTGATTATGAATAAATAATTAGTCAATATTAATTTATATTATAATAATTTACATTTATAATAATCTGTTATAAAAATGTAGTTAAATGAATTTTAAACATTTATAGTAATCATAAATGAATTGGACTCTTTTTGAAGGGGTTCTATTTAATACTTCCAGTCAAAAATTAATTATCTGTCAATGATTTAAATTATAAAAACATACTTGTGATATTAACTATGCAGAATGGAACAGATATAACTGACAACTTATATAACTTATGATCTACATTACATTTTGTATTTTTTTTTTTTTTTTTTTTTTAATAATTTTTACAATATATATTTTTTGGAATTGCGAAAAATAACATAAAACATATTTTAAATCTAGTTCTATATTGTGAAAATTGATTTAAAAAAAGCATTAGATGTAATGTAGATCATAAGGTATATGAGTTGTCAGTCAAGTCTGTTTCACCCTGTGTATTTAAATTTACAATTTTTTTTTTTTATACATTTAATACTATGTATTTACACCATACTGTCAATTTCAAGTTTTTTTAGATTCTTAAAATATTTACATCAAATAGATTTCGTGACATAGTCCCTCGTACTTTTCCTATACTGGTTCTCAGACATTTTTATTAAAACGCAATATATTTATCATACAATTCTTTAAAACTATACTTTGTTTCTTATTAGCATTATAAGTTATAAAACAATAGATGATGTTAGCGCGAGTCACACTATAGTATGGTCTTTTATCTTTGTTTGGCTGGTCAGCAATATGTCTTTTAGTATTAAGTCTAATCAGTGTACGTTCCACCGCTGAACCATCAGCGACGCACTCCAATATTAATCAAGGTTACATTTGTATTTAAATATTTTCATGTAAGTTTTAATTATAAATAAAATTAAGGAACAAATATTTTGTACATTTTATTTATTCATATTAAATTTAATATTCATTACATTAATCAAACAAATTAAAAAAAATTATATCATAAAAATAAGGTTAATTGAGCGTTCGATTTTTTAACGGTTAATAATCCCGCTCACCAACAGATGATAATATAAAATATGTTAGTTAGTCAATTTTTTGATTTATAAAAATATAAATATAATAATCATTGGAAAGATATTACAAGTTTTAGATATACTTAATATTTTTGAAGAGGCTAAGTCCGTCCAAATCTTTCCCAATTATAATGGGTAAATAATAATCAGTTGTTTTAACAAAAAAATAATAATGTTTTTAAATTTTGGTGACCAAATATAAATGAAAGACAATTCGATAGCATCTATCTTTAAAAGTATATAATTGTTATTACTTTGTATAAATAAATATGAAAATAATTTTAGGAGCAGAGGTTAAAAGTTAAGATAATTTTGTAATTATATTACTAATTAAAATAAGTTTGGTAATAATGTTTAATATATTTTCTTAATCTGTCAACCTTAATATATTAATTTTATGTAATAAATATACAATCTTATTAAAGGTCATTTTTCAGATCGGTGAAATATAAGATATGGATGAATATGGTAATCCTATACCAGGGTCTTCAAAAGAATATGAAAATATTATTGCTTCTGCAAATGCATGTGATTTTACTTGGTTGGAAAATGAATTTAAACAACAAGATTCTAATGAAGATGAAAAGCCAGATTTATGTATTCCAAATAATTACAACAATAATTTTTTACCTCAGCCTATTGAACAAGATACTAATCATAAAATACAAGATTTTTTTGAAGAAATTAAAACGATAGATTTTACCCAAGCTTCCAATACAGAAAAATTAGGCAACCTTGACACTCGTCGAGAAATGTTAGAAAGGTGTATAAGTTTCATTGATATCGTTCACCGTAATATTGATTATTTAGATCAAATAATTTGTACAATTAATTCTAATATTGAAATATCAAAAAGAAATGCAACTAAAGCGCATAAAGCAATTGAATATGAACGAAAATTATTGTATAAGACATCATTATCCAATATGAAGAAAAAAGCACATTTGGCACATTTTTTTAAAATTGGCTTATCAAATTGTCCTCTGAGTACACATCTTGAAGGACTCTACGAACATGGAAAATTAATTTTATCATATAACGGTAGATTCATACTTGAAGAGTGCGTGGAAAGAAACTTGTGGAACCAAGAATTTAAAAACAAACTTGAACAAGTCATTCATTTGGAAGTATTAGATAAAATCAAAGTGCCTATGCTTGCTCAACTATCTCGTCTAAGACGAGACTTAATTGAACAAGAAGAGGAGACAATTAAGAACAAAATTCAACTTGAAATCGTAGAAATCCAAAAAGAATTGGATAACATAACGAAAATGCCTTTTAAACGTTTAGTTTTTCAATTTATGGACTCCGATTACAAATACGATTGGCTACATATTGCAAAAATGACTAATAAACCAGATTTACAATGTCAACGATTTTGGAATCTCATGTTAAAACCCCATATTTCAAGAGCAAAGTGGACTAAGGAAGAAGACCAAAGATTAATAACTCTTGCAAAAAAATACGAAGAAAAAAATTGGCGACAAATTGCCACTGAATTAGATACGAACCGCAATGAATTACAATGTTTTGTACATTATCAAAAGTACAAAACAGATTTGTTCAAAAAAGGGAAATGGTCCAAAGAAGAAGATAAGAAATTGATAGAAGTCATTAAAGCTAATTCCATTGAAAATATGATAAATTGGCAAAAAGTTTACTATTCATTGCATAATTCAGGACGTTCTAATGATCAAATTTATAACAGGTAAATTTAAAATTTGAAAACTGGAAATACTAGACTTTTGTTAAAAATACCTTAAAGTTGTGCATATTGAAAACTAAATAGATTTTACATATAAATTAAAGTGATATATTTTTTAAAAAGTTTTTTTATGTTACTAAATTTGTTCTAAATATAGAAAACCCTTTATTATTATTTATTAACTAGAAGATATCATTAGAATCCACAAAAGGAAATTTTTAAGGCTTCCACACAATAGAAAAAATAAAAAATAATTGCATTAAAAAAATATCTAGTTGTTGATGTGTGGATTCATTTTTAATATGAATCATTCAATTTAAAAAGGAGAGTGTATGATAAAAATATTGTTTCGATATTTCCAAAAGAATGTAATTTTTTTTTTGTATTATATTTATAATATTGTCGGTTACGTGGTAAAACCTTGTAGCTAAAAACTTGTGAATTTTAAATTTGTTGCTGTAGAATTTAGTTTTAGTTTTGGAGCATTGAAACATGAACAATTTTTTTATGAACATTTTCTTTATGTGATGAATATCACATAAATACTCAATACTCAATAATCACAATACTTTTTTCACATATGAATATATGTGAAAAAAGTATTGTGTATGAAAATATTAAAAAAAAAAAATTGAAAACTTATGAGGTTTTGACGACAATATAATCTAATAGAAATTTATTTCATGAATTTACAGAAAATAAACTATTTTAACTTTAAATACCTCTAAAAAATATTAGAGTAATATTATTTAATATTTCATAACGTATATGTAAAGATATTCAATAATATAATTTTCACATTTGTTTTTCTATTGTTCTTTGTGTCATAGGTGGATGTTCAGTTTAAAACCAGGTATTAAGAAGGGATTATTAAACGATAATGAAAAGCTCATAATCACTGCAGCACAAAAAAAGAATCTGCCTCCATCTTTAGTTTCAATGAATTTGACTAATAGAACTACAACACAAATCCGAAATGCATACCGTCGAAATTTATCATATATAAACGATGTTTATAGAGGTGGTTGGCTTCCAGAAGAGGACAAGTTGTTGCTAAAAGCTGTATCACAACACGCACTAAATGGATGGACATGGTCGCAAATATCCGACCAAGTTCCTGGACGTAATGCTGAGCAGTGTCGTCATAGATTTAAATTAATTGAAAAAAAAATTCAAAATAACCCAAAATTAACAATTGATAATTTTCCTAGAGCAAAACAAGTTTACCGAATTAAAGACATTCCATATTTGCCAGATGATATGGAAAGTGTTCACAATGTATTAGTTGAGAGTTTCAAACAAAATCGTGAATCCATCAAGGCCAATAATGTGAAAGAAACTGATGCTGATCGTAAGCTTAAAAAAGCTTATTTAGAAAACGCCTATATTATGGATCATTGCAATTTTTCTAGCAAGTGTGAATTACTAAAATATGTTCTTGATTATTTAGGGGCAAACCTTAAAATTCCAAATAATTTTGTAAATAAGGATGATTTAATTGATGAAGGACTAATAAGTATGATGACTTACCTGAGGGAGTCTTCAAATAATATTTATACTTTAAAGTCAAATTGCATTGAACCCAACCATGAGTGTGAAATAGACAAAACAGTTCTTTACGAAGGTATTGAAGGTGCCTTAAAACCTAGTGATATTATTAATTCGAGTATGAGTGAAATCGACGGTCTTATGAGTATAAGAATGAGAGAAATGAAATATAACAAGTCTAAATTTATACCAAACAAAATAACCAAAACATTTAAAGACTTACCTGTTTGCAACTTGGGCTCTGTACCGCCTAATTATGAAACATTTAAAATGTTATACACGTGTATGACAAGTTTAAGCAGTTGTATCAAAGTTGATAACTTGAATCCTGATGAAGATTTTGATTGGAACAATGAGGAGTCTAAAAAGTTGCAAAAACGTTTAGTTTCTATATTCAGATGGCCAACATTATTTTCTGGAATGATTGATTATAGAGGAATTAAAATGAATATGGTAACTAATTACGATAGACCTGATAATAATTTTGATACTAAAATTATTCGCAATAAAAAAAGAAAATTATATTTGAATTTAAAACAATATTTATAAGATAATTTACAAGATATACAAACTGCAGGTATATTTTTTCTTTAGAATTAATATTGAAGGATTCGTCAATTATTTATATATACAATTGAAGTTTAACTTGATCTAAGTTTAAACTTTGTTTTAAATTTTAGTTGTCCATGAAGACTATTATGTTACCTATTAAAGACTGACCAGTTAGTTTGATTCCATTTTTTATTATAATTGTTTATCGAAAATCTGTAGACAAAGATTTAAAAATATGAGTTAAATCTATAATTTATACTTAGTTTAGTCTACTAAAATTATTTTATTTTTTAAGTTTCTTTTTATTTATTTATTACGAATAAACAGTATATTTTTAACATTTTATCAAATTGTTTTAATTTTTCATGTTGAGCTTAAAACTTGATCAATATTATAAATTTTGATTAAAATAAAAAAAAAATTATGTACATAAATATTTAAAAAAAATTGCACTGAATATTTATAAAGAATCGAAAATATAATGATAATAGAATATTTTTTATACATTATTAAATTAAAATAAATATTAACATCATATTATATAATAAAATGTTTTACCAAAATTATTTTTTTATCGTTACATTAATTTTATTATCATGAATATGATTACAGTATTTTAAAAATTATTAATGGTTTTTAAACGATTTAATTGAAAGTTGTTAGGTACGTATGTATCCACTCGGTTTTTGGTGATGTTTTTAGTGAAAATTATTATTACCTGATAAGTGGTAGGTTTTTTATTTACTTGATACTATATGTTATTATAATTCTATAAATTTATTTAATTTTGAACCATAAGTTTTACATGCATTATGTGAAATATTATTCAAACATGACTCACGCCTGTTGAAAACAATTAACTGTGGGATCCACCGAATCGAATCTAGTATATTTGCTTAATACTAGTGTTTATATGTGTAATATATTGGGTTTACCTTCTAAAGAGATTTTTGAATATCTATACGAGGTTCGTTATTTATGAATAAAATTTCTCAGATGGTTGAAATAAAGAATTAACCACATCGTTTTCTGTCTTAACCAGCTAATACAAGTGTTCACATTTTTAATACAATGGACATACTCCCTATTATGTTGATAGAACGGAAGTATAGACTCGAATTTAGATTTACTATAAAGGTTTGAACTTAACGTATCTTAACTAGCGGACATGATTCTTTGTGTATCTTAAAAGCGGACTGAAAATGTGTTACTTAAGTATTTAGAATTTTTTTCATACGTGTATGATGTATATTGACTTCGGTGTTATTAATTAAATATTGCGGTGAACATCGGCAGATGAGTCTAGAACAAATTGAGGTTACAAGTATTAAGTTCAGTTACGATTTATCGGTCGTATTGTACGGACGTGTATATCTTGCGTACGTTTGTAGTTACCCGCCTATTTTTAGAGTACTATTCCGTTATTCATAGTTTTTTTTTTTCGTTTTGAATCCATAGTTCCGCCTTTTTGGCACATTTACTGTGTCCGCCGGAGCTATGGATGCAATCCAGACCTAATCCGGGAAGAGGTGATCAGCACCACCCCCCATTGCGTCGTAGAAGCACTCTGCTATCTTCTAACCCACAAATCTCCATGGATAATTCGCGTTATTCTGGTAAATCGCCAATTAGCACCTTACACAAAAAACCTAAATNGCTCTAAATCGCCAATTAGCCCCTTACACAAAAAACCTAAATCTGACGGTAAATCAAAATCCGATGATCCCCAATCTCAAACTTTCAGCATGGATTGTAGCTCACCTGAAGTCATCGTTGTGACGTCACCCGGTTCGCCAACTTCAAACATAGACTCGCTCTATGTCGATTCTTCTAATATTTCAACAGTCAGGCAACCCAATGTTCCTGAATGCTTTCCACTACACTACACTGGTCCCCTTAATGTACTTGTTTCTGCATCTGGTGATAATAACTTAGGTAATTTTCACCCAGTTAAGCTCGGTAAAACTTTTTCCTGGTATTCTGAGCATAAACCCTATCGGTTCTAAGCGTGTGAAAATCACGTTTGAGTCGGTTAATAACGCTAACAATTGTCTCACTTCCCCTTCTCTTTCTGAACACGGCTACTCTGCGAATATTCCTAGTACTTTACTATATAGTATTGGAATAATACGTCTTGATAAAAGTATCTCTGAAGAAGACTTTTGGGAAGGTTATGAATGTTCAGTCAAAGTTGTTTCATTCAGACGCATTAATATAAAAAAGGATGACATCCTCGTTTCTTCAAATTTAGATGAACTTAAATTTTTGTCAGCAACTCTTCCTCAAAAATTATCAATATACAAAGTTATTTTTGATGTCTCTCCGAGTATTCGTTCTCCTGTCCAATGTCGCAAGTGTTTACGTTTTGGTCACACCCTTAAATTCTGTCGCAGTAAGGAGCACTGCAGTCACTACGGTCTCTTTGACCACACTGAATCTAATTGTAACGTCAAGTTAACCACACCTACTTCGTTCATTTTTTGTAAACTGAACCCCCTTACGACGGATAGATCTTGCAGCGAATGGTCTGTGCAAAAGGACATTAAAAAAATAATGGCCACAAACAATGTCTCGTTTTCTGAAGCCTCCTCGATCAAACGTTCCAGTTTAGTTAATAAAGCTTTTACCTTTTCTGATGTTGCTAAAAATACAAATATATCTAGTGTCGAAGTCGTAGCTTCTCCTTCCTTTCCTTCCCTTAGTCATTCTACTAATACATATACAAATAAACAAAAGAAGAAAAAAAGTAATAAAACTCAAGTCCCCCCCCCCCACTTTCCTCCTTTACCAAATGACTGTTCTAGGCCAATTTCGCCTAATGGCAGTTTTTTAAAATACATGTCCCAAAATCGTAGTATTAATGTTGATGACCGCAACTAGATTTCCTGCTTATCACAACATATCATTCAGCTACTCGCGAGCGATCCTAATTTAATTTCCTCTCCTTCAATACTTCAATCAACTATAGAATCTTCATTACCTACATCCACTATCCTTTATCTGACAATGATAACACATTTTAATAGTAATCCTAACTTTCCTTCTTTCAATATTCTTCAATGGAACGTAAGAAGTTTATCCCCTAGAATGCACGATCTCTCTTTTCTTCTCTCTAATAATAAATGTTCTTTTGCTCTCCTTTCTGAAACTTGGCGCCTTTCAAATAAACGTGTTTATCTTCCACAGTTCAACATTAATCGCTCTGATCGTATCGACGATTTTGGCGGCGTAGCCATCGCCTCTCATCATTCTATCCACATTAACCCTATTTCTATTGATCTTGTATTAAAAATCTCGCTTCTTAATCATTCTATAGATCTTGTCAGTATCCAGGCGTTTACTAATTTACCCAATCCCATTGCCATTTGGTCTATTTACATTCCCCCCTCTTCCAACCCTCCTTATATACTAATTGATAACATTTTTTCTTTAGTTTCTTGTAATTCTATTATAGGTGGTGACTTTAATGGTCACCATCCCTCCTGGGGTGCACTAATCTCCAATCATCGTGGTAACATTATTTCGTCTGCTATTTCTGCCTATAATCTTTGTATTCTCAATACAGGACTCCCCACCCTCCTTACAGGTCCTTCCCAAATGGATTCCGCGTTTGACCTAACCATTTCATCTCCCTCTCTCTCGTTGTTGTTGTCATGGTCTGTCCTAGACTGCACTCATAATAGTGATCATTTTTCCATCATTATTTCTCACACAAATTCTCCCTCTCCCTTTTCCTCTCACACTGTTGTTAACAGATTTAATTATTCGAAAGCTGATTGACCATCTCCCATTGAGGACTACAACTGGTTCGTGTCTACAATTATTTAAATTATCTGTTCCTTTAATTAAAAAAACCAAAAAGTCCTTTCCCTCCTCTCCAATATGGTGGTCTTCCTCTTGCACCTACGCTATTAATGAGCGCACTAAAGCTTTTAAAAAATATAGATCCTCGGGTCTGCTAAGTGACTTTTTTGAGTACCAAAGGGTACGCGCCTCTGTTCAAAAAACACTTAAACAAGCAAAAATTATGTCCTGGCGCTCTTTCTGTTCCTCACTTAATCCTTCTTCTAGCCTGTCCAATACCTGGACTATTGCCAAAAAATTAAAAAACTGTCTATATAAAAATTCTCCCTCTTTAAACTAGTCATGGTTTGATCCCTTCTGCAGTAAGGTTGCTCCCCCCTACGTCCCATCCTTAGAAGAATCCTCTCCTATCCTTGATCCTAACCCTTTCCTTAATTTTCTCCCTTTTCATCCTCTTACTGATTCGTTTACACTCAGTGAAATGTCCTATGCAATCTATTCGCGTAAATCGTCCAGCTCTGGTTTGGATGGAATTTCCCCTTTGGTTCTAAAACATCTCCCTTCTCATTGCCTTGAACTTCTCTTAGTCATTCTTAATTCTTTATGGTCCCAAGGTGTTATTCCTGATTCTTGGCGTAATTTTAACGTCATTCCCGTTCCTAAATCTAACTCAGCTTCCGTTGCATTTCGCCCAATAGCTATTTCCTCTTCTCTTTGCAAAGTAGTCGAACACATTATCAAGAACCGTCTTGATTGGTTCTTTGAAAAAAATAACTGTCTTCCCCCTAATTTATACGTGTTTCGGAGAGGGCTGGGCACCATGGAGTGTTTATCCACACTCACGGCCAGTATATACAAAACATTTTGTGATAAATCCTATTGTCCCGCTGTCTTTGTTGACATCAAAGGTGCTTTTGATTCTGTACACATTCCTACCCTTATTTCCCTTTTACATTCTTATTCTATACCCCCTACACTTTGTAATTTTATTTCAAGTCTCTACTCACAACGTTTTCTTACTTTCACTTCTCCTTCCGGTTTAATATTAAACCGCACTTCCTACCGCGGCCTCCCACAGGGTAGCTGCCTTAGTCCTCTTCTTTTTAATATTTATATGAGCAAAATTAGCCTCTCACCTCTAGTGGTACTTTTTCACTTTTCTATGCTGATGACATCGTTCTTTTTTCTTCTCATATATCCATTCATAATGCCCTCAACTCCCTTAATAATTCACTTGCCGTCCTCTCTAACTCTCTTCAAATTCATTATTTTGAGGCTGCTCCATTGAAAAGCCAGTTAATAATTTTCACTAGAAAACGCTTACCGTCAGTTTACCCTATAATTACTCTTGATGGGATAACCATCCCCCCGTCTGAATGCGTCACTTATTTAGGCCTTAAACTGGATCCTAAGCTGAGATGGCTTCCTCATTTCTGTTTTATTCTCTCGTCCGCTACTCGCTGGGCAAATTTCTTACGCTATATTACTGGTACATCCTGGGGCTCTCATCCC